TCCATCGCAAAGCGATTTCATCGTAAAACGGAGCGATCGCTATGCAAGGCACCACTGTAAAGGATAAAGATAAAGGAACATGACAGTACACTCAAGATCTTCTACCTTGGGGGGGGGAAGCCTTAGAGGTAGGAGGCTATGAAAGGTTGTTTACCGTGATAAAAAGAAAACACACCCACATGTGAACTTTGAAGTATGGAATCCAAAAGGATTACTTACAAGTAGTTTTCTATAGAAAAACAAAGATGCTAATAAGGGTATAAATACATGATTCTTTCAAACAAGCATAACTCAGAGTGTGACTTAAGAGCATTAAAATTTTTTAGCCATTTGTCTATCAGCCCAGATTGCGATGAGCTTTGTCTTTTCTGTTCCTAGGACCAGGAATGTCCTTGGTCCAGAACAGAAAGGTAACACGACTGTGCTACTTACTTGTTTTGCTTACAGCACAGAAAGATGGCACATTTTGCTGTTTCATGCATTCGGTTTATTAGCAGAATTCAAAGTCTAGCCAAAGTTACAAATTTGATGCTGCACTACATGTAGTTTGATACCCGTATAAGGTGATCAATTCAATCCAAAGGTAATGACTGGGTAAAAAGGATCTGTATTATTTGGAAAAATGTATATTAACCAGTGTTATGACATCACATAGGGTCCCAAAGAACAAGAAATCTGCGCTGCTTGACTGCTTCTACCTTTCATTGATGGAATAAAGTTTTTTGAATTAGCTCACTCATTTGTATTTTGGACTTCTCACCTTTCCCTCACCAAGGGAGGGGTTTCTCATGCCACGATTTTGGCGACCACGATGGGACCCTTCAGTTTGATGCCTCATTGGACTGGGATCATTATGTTGGCCTAGTACACACTAGGTGAGTTCATACTGATGTGGTTGTTAGCATGGTTCTTGCCCAGGAAGACGTCAAAAAGAAGGGACCTGAGAAGCAGTGAGTGACATTTTGTCTTTGTGTTGTCTTATCTCTGGATGTTGCAACATTTGGGAGTCCTAGATTCTAGATGGAGAGAAAACTGCACAGGGGCACCTGTCTGCCAAGAAAATGTTATTAGGGTGGCAGTCCAGCATGGAAGTCTTGGGAACGAGGTAGAATTGACAGTAAACAACTTGATTTTTGACTGGGAGGTAAAGACTCCCCTTGCTTCATGAGAAAGCAAGAGGGCCTCCAGATCACTTATTTGAGAGTCATGACATGCAGCTGTTGATAGGGTGTCAGGTACACAAGAACAGTTTCCCAATGCTATGTTGAAGGGTAGGTGTCAGAATGAATAATTCCTAGGGGCCAGGTTGAGCAATTTCCACTGCAAGGTGTCTGGCCAAGTAATTCCTGTTACAAGGTGTCTGGCCAAATAATACCATTGCAGGCTGTCAGACTGAGTAATTCCAGCTGTGAAGACAAACTGTCATGGGTTCAGGGTTCAGTGTAAAATTAAAAAACGGAATCACATCTGGATATAATGTTAAAGAAATGAGGCCAAATAACAATTGCTAGCTTAAGTTTTTTTTTTTTAAAGTCTGATTACTTTGTTAGGGACACTTTGGCCAAGTTAGTGAGGACTAATGGCTGCCACAGGGAACTGTGATCATAATCGATCTCCTGGCAGGCTTTAAACCAGCACAAATTGACTGTGCATACTTGTTCCAAAAGGCAAGCCCCTTGCTGTCTGCCTGGCAAACTAACCAGTCTTCCCCTTACCGACTGACCAGTTTAAATCCAACAGTACTCATGCCTTAAGTATTAGGCCCCATCTTTGCTGTCCTTCCACAAGCAAAGACCTTTCGGTAGGTAGGTAGGTAGGTAGGTAGGTAGGTAGGTAGGTAGGTAGGTAGGTAGGTAGGTAGGTAGGTAGGTAGGTAGGTAGGTAGGTAGGTAGGTAGGTAGGTAGGTAGGTAGGTAGGTAGGTAGGTAGGTAGGTAGGTAGGTAGGTAGGTAGGTAGGTAGGTAGGTAGGTAGGTAGGTAGGTAGGTAGGTAGGTAGGTAGGTAGGTAGGTAGGTAGGTAGGTAGGTAGGTAGGTAGGTAGGTAGGTAGGTAGGTAGGTAGGTAGGTAGGTAGGTAGGTAGGTAGGTAGGTAGGTAGGTAGGTAGGTAGGTAGGTAGGTAGGTAGGTAGGTAGGTAGGTAGGTAGGTAGGTAGGTAGGTAGGTAGGTAGGTAGGTAGGTAGGTAGGTAGGTAGGTAGGTAGGTAGGTAGGTAGGTAGGTAGGTAGGTAGGTAGGTAGGTAGGTAGGTAGGTAGGTAGGTAGGTAGGTAGGTAGGTAGGTAGGTAGGTAGGTAGGTAGGTAGGTAGGTAGGTAGGTAGGTAGGTAGGTAGGTAGGTAGGTAGGTAGGTAGGTAGGTAGGTAGGTAGGTAGGTAGGTAGGTAGGTAGGTAGGTAGGTAGGTAGGTAGGTAGGTAGGTAGGTAGGTAGGTAGGTAGGTAGGTAGGTAGGTAGGTAGGTAGGTAGGTAGGTAGGTATAGATAGAGCAAGCCTTCTCCTTAAGAAGATGATCCAGATTAACCCACAATTATAGCTCTTCCGTCAAGACAAAACCAAGGGATCTCAACTCCTAGACCTAGTGATGACCCATAGATGGTACATCATCTATTCTCTGCCATCTTTTCAACACAGAGTCCTAACTAGATAAACATTTCCCAGGTAGGTAGGTAGGTAGGTATAGATAGAGCAAGCCTTCTCCTTAAGAAGATGATCCAGATTAACCCACAATTATAGCTCTTCCGTCAAGACAAAACCAAGGGATCTCAACTCCTAGACCTAGTGATGACCCATAGATGGTACATCATCTATTCTCTGCCATCTTTTCAACACAGAGTCCTAACTAGATAAACATTTCCCAGCTTCTAGACCCCATTTTATCTTTAGAAGAGCATCGACAGGTTTTATGCTAGGCAAATGTGTGGATTAAGAGTCAGCCTGTAAATTGCAAGTACAGTAAGCCCACTGAATCGGTGAGGACTTGGTGAGTCCTTTTTAAGTGCCATTGATTCAACTGTACCTACTCTAGCTCTGACTGAGTAAGTAACAATTCTTCTATACTTTATTTTTCCTGGTAGCCTCTACTGTTGAATCTCGCCAGTCCCCACATAGCTAAATGCTATGTGATGTGAGTGAGCTTCATTGCCTGCACTACTTCAGGGCCTTTACTTCTTGTCCTCCTCAACAGCTCTCCCCTCCTTGCCTTTTCTCCTTCCCTTCCAACCACTTCTCTCTCCTATTTCCTCCACCATGTACCTGCACAGCACTACAATTCTTTTCTACGTACACTGTTTTGTTCTCTTTGATCTATATATCACTTCTATTTCTTACAGATTAGATTCCAATGCACTCACAAATAGCCCATCCCCAGAGCACAATAATCCACTTGACAGTAAAGTGTCAGACTGAAGTTCCTACGGATTTGCCCAGCAGTGTTCAAAATATCACTTAAAATAACTGTGTACTCAAGATAACACCGTCCAAAATAGTACTTAAATCTCTCATCCAACTGTGACCCTATCCATACACATAGCAACATCCATTCAGTACAGAGATCCTTTGCAACCGAGATGTTATGTGAAATAATGCCTGAGGGTATGTTTTTATGTCTTTAGAGTTGGGATCCTGTTTTCCAGTTGACTCCATGTATCTCTAGCCCACCCAAATGCATACCTGTACACACATGCGCGCACACTTGTACCTGATACTGGCTGCTCCTAAAATGCAATGAAGCAGAGTACAGTGGACCCTCTACGTACGGAATTAATCCGTATTGGAATGGTGGCTGCAGGTTGAAAAGTCTTTAGGTCGAGTCTCCATTAACCTACAGTGCATTGAAAACCGATTAATCCTGTAACTAGCCGTTTTTGTTCCATTTTTGTTCCATTTTGGGTTTTTTTCTGGTCTGTAGGTCGATTCTCAGGCTGCAAGTCAAACATAAATTTTGTGGCCAGAGGGTCCACTGTAGCTCATAAAACTGAGCTGAGTCGTCCCTGCTATTTACATCATTGTCAGAACGACCTAGCTCTCATTCTTGATCTATAATACTGTTTTATTTGAGTTTCCAGTTCTGCCTCCCTATTCTCCAAAGTATTGCAATTAATTCTCGATGTGGAGTACACGAGATGTACTGAGGAAGAGGAACTGCACTGGAGGACATGGACTGGAATCACCAACCTTGTATATAGTGTGAGATCATAATATAAGAAACAAGTGGTGGGATTAAAACTTGTGTGTGTCACTTTCAAAAGGTAAAGGTTCCCCTTGACATTTAGTCCAGTCGTGTCCGACTCTAGGGTACGGTGCTCATCCCTGTCTCCAAGCCATAGAGCCAGCGTTTGTCCATAGACAGTTTCTGTGGTCACGTGTCCAGCGTGACTAGACACGGAACACTGTTACCTTCCCACTGAGGCGATAGCTATTTATCTACTCGCATTTACATACTTTTGAACTGCTAGGTTGGCAGGAGCCGGGACAAGCGATGGGAGCTCACTCCGTCGCGTGGATTTGATCTTGTGACTGCTGGTCTTCTGACCTTGCAGCAAAGAGGCCTCTGTGGTTTAACCTGCAGCGCCACCAAGTGTCACTTTCAAAGACCAGTTTAAAAAACATTAAATCATAGTACAGCATCTTAGCTAAGAGACTGAGTCCCTGGCCTCTACCAGTTCACCATCTCTCAGCTTCACCTTGTACCACATCAATCTACAACAGTAACTTCAACACGGAGTCATTCTCAACGGGGGCCATATAGCCCCTTCGGGGGCCCTGGCACATTTGAAGGGTGCTACAGACTGGAAACAATCCTTCACACACCAGCTGATAAGGTTTCTTATGTGATTTATACAATCCTGATTCAATCAGGACCTCCCCGGCAGATTCAGCCCATATTTCTTAGTGTGTTTATGGCTGTGGCCTGATTTAGAGAGCTAGATGTTTGTGAAGTGCTTTCAATGCACAAAAAATAACTACATAAAATGTCAGGTGTCGTTATTATATGCCTGAGAGCAGCATAAAACAGCAACTGAAAGACTTTAAAAGACAGAGGCTCCCTATTTACCCATGTTCTCACCTTGAAATTCTCAAAGAAGCCACCACCCCCGTTTTCTATTTTATCCTCATCGCCAGAGGCCAAACCCATCATGCTCCGGCTACGAATCTGCAGTTCCTCATAAAGGCTCTCCAAGAGGGCACTGCGAGTCCTCTCCTGCTCCGAAGAGAAAAAGAGGGAGAGAGAACAAACAGGATGCGTGCAGTGAGAAAGATCAGACACCAGAACAAAACTGAACAGCGATGCACTATGTGGGTCAGTTATATAACGCGCTGAAGCCTCAGGGGGGAAGCCATGTTAGCTTGCTGCAGCAAAAACAACGAAGCAGTCTAGCAGCACCTTAAAGACCAAGAAGTTTCACTTGCAGACAAAATGAACTGCTATCCACAGAAGTGTACACCAAAGTAAACTGCTGAGTCATTATGGTGCCGCAAGACTCTTCCTTATCTGAATCATGTAACTCCAGCTCTTATGCTAACTTTCTACTTGTGGTCGGGTTCAATTCAAGGTGCTGCTTCTAAATTTTAGCTGCTGCTCAGCTGGCACAGGCATAGGTTACCTCACAGACTGGTTGTTCCCATTTTGGGGACTGCCTGGGAATAAAGATCAAAGCCAGAGATCTCAGTCTCAAGTGCTGCCTCAGGAAATTTGGCAAATCAGTGGTAGGGCCTTGCTGTGGTGTAGCTGGGACTCTGGAATACCCTGCAACAGAAATTCACCCATCAACTACTTTGTGTCTCTTCAGAGAAATGGAAGACAATTTTTTTGGCTGACTTTTAACATGTACCTCCCAGTTGTATTCCCCACTAGGCTAATTCCAAACAGCTTTTACATTCGCTGCTCTTAGCTTATGTTTTGTCTAAGGACATTTCAAGACAGAAGACTCCTCCTGGAAGCATTCAGATTGCAATGAGCATCTATTAAGTCTTTTTCTCCAAGTTCTCCCACAGTAAGAAAAAAGAGAAAAAGTTGTGGAAAAACTGGAGGCGGGTGCTTTAATACAAGACAGCCGAGAAAACCTCCATTTACAGGAAAGTCAAGGTTAATAGAAGTTTTAAATATAGAAATAAATGTACACCTGTACACAATACTCCCGTATTGCAAAGGAGAGATCTTTCCACAAAGTGGATGTCACTCCAGGAAAAGCCAGTGGCTGTCGCCCATGCTAGCTGGAAACCTGTACGTTTTAGCACGAACAGGGCCTTCTAGAAAGAACAGAGTAGTCCGGGAAGCTAGTACAGGGTAGACATTCCTTGAGGTAACCTGCTCCTAAGATTTATAAGGCTTTATACACCAACACAAACTTTTTGAACTTAACTTTGGTGGATCTTTAGGACATATGTCATATATAACACAGTAAGCACCCAGTCAACCCCACCACAACCCCCCCCCAAGGTAGCTCAAACACAATATGACAGACAATGATCAAGAAGCTCTATGGCAAGTTGAACCACTACAAGCACCTAGTCCATGCTCTTAGGCTGTAGAAGCTGCAAACCACCCCACAAAACTGTCCAATGATGCACCAGGTACCTCACTTAGACTTCTATCACTAGCACTGTGAAGATCATTAAAAAGGCAAGTAATTTTGTCTCAGTGCCTTGTTGACCCTCCCTTTCATTTTATATTTTACATTTCTTTTCAATTTAGAATTACCCATACAGACCTTTGCTCCTAACAGATCCTGGCTGAAATTCAGCAGTGAGCTGCAATTAGATAGAATCAGTAGGATTTGGTAGGTCAGCTCCTCCATAAGTGCCGTTCGTTCAATGGACCTACTCTAGTTGCATACTATGGATTTCAACCATTCGTGGAAACACAAGTAACAGACTCACCTCCAGCTTAGCAAATTTCTCTGCCTGGTAGCAGCTGTACTCTGCATTTATAAGCTTTGCCAGGAGAAATTCACGGAATTCTGTGCCCTGTGAGAAGATGTCATTCATGGTTTTAGAAGGTCCTTCAAGACTCTTTTCTTAAATTTACCCAGCAATAGCCGGGATCATTTTGGTATACAACAAAAAAGGCTCTGACATGCTTTTTGGGGACTATGTTTTTTCAGAGAGCATACTGATACTCTACATAGAAAACGACAGTCACAAACATAACATCATAAAATTTCTCTATTTGGCTCCATACCACAAAACTGAAAGACTTGCTCAAAATAACTGCACAGGACAGTCTTGTTATATTACACAACTGTAAAATAAACACTCTCACAAGAGCAATATAAATATTCCTCACTCAGGTGAGGATTTTTTTCAAGGCTACCTTTCTGCCTGACATTTTAATTTTCTATATGCAAGTAATTCTTTTATATAGAGGGAAAGTCACTCACGGAAACTTAATTTACAAACTGGGGGTAACACAGCATGCTTCTAGACAAAGGTATGTGACTCCTAGAAATATCAATCAAATGATAATTTTTAACCATTTCTGTCTTTTCCTCTGTATCCAATTTTTTAAAGGAAGAAAATAGATGGAAACAGCAGTGGGAGAAATACCAGTCAATGTCTAAGTTATCTGGATTCCATAGAAATCTATCAAAAAGGCAGACTACCTTCATCACAAAAACTTAATCTATAAGGACTCTCAATCCTACAGGAACTATACTTCATGACTTTCAAGAAGGTGCAGAGCAGTTCTTTGATGCTGACTACTGAGGCCTGAAGGAGCACAAATAGAAAGTGTGAGCCTTCTGTAACAGGACTGCACGTTCAACTCCAAGCATGCTTCAGCCTCTTTTACAAATAAATGGCAACGATAGTAGCTGGAATGTGCCAGATTCTAGAGCCATGTTTGCCATTAACATAGGATTACCATTGTTGTGTTTAGCTCCTGCTCTAAACAGCTGAATGGAGAATACGTGCAATGTGAGAGAAAATACCATTCTCCTTTAAGGCTTTTCTTTTAAATGCTGCAAGAAGCCTTTCAGCCATACAAACCTTTTTGAATACCGCTGGATTTGGAAGAGGAGGGCCAAAGAAGGGCACATCATCACGGGCTGTAACAGAAACCTGAAACAACCAGAAACGATAGAATGATTCAACAATGAGGACAAAAAGAGAGCAGAGACAGCACAGGGCTGTGAAATACAGGTATTCTGAATGGCTGTCTGTAAAAAATCAAAAACATAATGCATTTCCATCTACATGATGCAAGATACGGGATGCCAGAAACATCCCACACACAGCTGATTTCTCTGCGACCAAGTCACCATCTAAGCATCACTTTGAAGGCCAGGCCAAACTGGTTGCAAGAATGTATTATGAGCCCACTCTGTACATAGACTCTAGTACAAGATTACACTTTACTTCTAAAATTACATTTTCTGCATTTCTGGAATTGCACCATGCACCACACTGAGTCTTTTCTACCATACCTCAAATCACCTCTCACCCTAATTAATTTCTGCTCTACTATTTCTGTTCAACATAATATTGAGTCTGGAAAAAAAAATATAATGCAAAGTTTGCAAAATATTTATTTTGTAACTTTCTGAGTCTTCTCATAAAGGTATACCATGAACTACCAGAAATTACAAATTGAGGGGTTTTAAGACCAATTTAAGCCTGAATTATGAGAAGCAAAAATTATTCTGCTTGAAAAAAATTACAATTTGGACATGTCATGAGAAGGAAAGTCTCACTAGAAAAGGAAAGAATGCTAGGAAAAGTGGAAGTCAATCAAAAACGAAGACCAAACAAGGGATGGATTGACTCAAAGAAGAAAGCCACATCCTTTAATTTGCAGGATTTTTTGAGGTCATTAATTCATTGGGTTGCCATAAGCCAGAAGCACCTTCATGGCAAGTGACAGCAGCAAATAAAGGTACAATTTTACATTTTTTTACTCTAATGAATGAACATATTTGCAAATATTGTATAAATGGACCAAATGATTTTAAAACTTTACTCTTCTAGCCTTGTTCTTTGCAAAATCATGAATTCCATGAGCTAATGATTACATTAGCTGTCAATAGTTAAATGCATTAGATTGAATTTGCAGGATACATTTTTCTGCCTTTCTTCATCCTATTGCTGAAGACACAACCTGTCCACCAATATTTTTCAACAATTCTGTTCACATCACTCCCTCTGTGTGTGTGAACTAGACTCTTACATATATTTTGAACCTGTAAATCTGATCAGCAACACTATTTTTCATTGCCTCTGATAAGTGTACTTTGTCCCTCCTGTCAGGGATGCTACTGTACCTTCCTGCCTATACACATGATACTCTGAAATGGGTAACTCTTCAGAAAGCATGGTGTTCTCTCTCACACAGGCATATACATCTGTGAGCGCGCACACATACACTATTAAGTTCCTGTGTCTCTCTTCAAGACAAGTCCTGGGCATTTGTTTAGAATGCTTATTTTTATGCTCCAACACAATTTTGACAAGACCTAACCACTAGCTATGCTAGAAACCATGAAATGAGTTTCCATCAATATTTTCAAGCATGATCTACAATTTAACATCAGCTATTTCCCTGTGTTAACAGCACTTCAGCTTGTCCCAGGGCCCTTTGATCTCCTCGTTAAGCATACCCTTCCCATCCCTGTGCAGTCTATGGCATTTCAGAGCCTTGAAGGTATTACATTACAGCTCTTGTTGTCTCCGCCGTGCATGTATTCATTTTTCTGAGATGCTCCGTGACACTCTTTGATCAAGCAAATTTTACTGCTCAGTGTTGCCAGCTACTGCATTTGTATTGCCATCCCAGAAGTTACCAGCAAAAAATATTCAATACAAATGGATTCCAGAATGGTGAGTTAGAACCAGGACCTCCATTTCACTGTGAATTTCACTTCCATCAATAGGGTTCCCTCTCCATTGCTCTGTGAAGCCCGGGTAAATATAGACAAAGGGGTTAGTCCATTTCCATGTGGCAAATTAAAAAGAGGTGATCAACTGAGTCATTCATCCTTCTCTTTTTCTTGCAAGACAAGAGATACACATAATTTGTTCAGTGTACACATCATCTTTTCATGGGTAAATGACTTGTCTTTTGGTGAGAGTCTCCCAAGTCTGCAAATCGGCAAATAAATCAGAATGTATAAAAATTCAGGGTGTGTAAGTCTGATTCAGCTATGTAAGTCTGATTCTAGAGAAACGTTAACTGTTTTATTCCAATATGAAGGTTTGCTTTTCCTTTTCTCACTTCTTTTTTTCAGCTTACTTCCAATACTTTTGCACTTTTTTCCTGGCTGACTAATAACTTACTTCTTAATAAGGTACATATAAGGATTTGCTAAATCTGAGTAGCTAATACTGTACAGCAGTTACATTTATTCTGGATTAATTTTTGATATAAAACATTAACCTTTGAGGATGGAAAAAACCCAGCAGATTAGTCTAGCATTACATCGCACTGCATCCTTAAATGTCCCTTATGTTGCTTCTTTCAGTACTTGTCCTGGACACTTATGGAGCACTGAAGGTCAACTAAGAGACCAATTGCCTTCTGCATTACTTTGGTGTTTGTTCATCACTACTATGGTGTTGCTGCCAAAACATCCAGACACACTTTGTACTCCCATGTGGCCTATGAGTACATACGGCCGTTGTACTCAGGGCCAGCCCTTTCCAGCAAAAAGCACAGAACAACGGAGTGAGAAAGGATCAAAAGCTCATTTCTCCATATTTCAAGAAAAGAAACAAGAGAAAAATTTCAGCCTGACACCTGTTCATCTCCTCCTAGAATGAAAGAACTATGGACGAAGGGGTAATTAGTAATTCTCCATGAATCACCACTCCAAAAGCTAACTCCACTATAGACAGTAAATGCTATGTAACCAACCATAAAAAGTGGACTAAGAGAGATAGCAGGCGCCATAGCAAGAGACCTTCTATGGCTTCTAAAGTGAGCGCAAGCTGGCTGACCATGTTTACCTTGTAAAGAGTCTCTCCGAGGGCGCCATGATGGAGCTGCACTACGACATAGGCATGTAGGAAGTTGGACGCAATCATGTCAGGAACAAAAGGAGTATTTTCATCTTGGAAGACAATGGCCACAATATCATTTCCAATGTGGCGCTTCCGCTGAAGCTAAAAGGGAACGTACAATGGAACATGTAAGAAAGGAATTCAACCCAAGTGTTTGGACCATATGTATTATGAGGCCGAACCAAGGAGCACAAAGAGGGGCACTAGCTCTAGAGATCTGCAAATCTTTTCCTCAGGCAAAATACTACTGAAGGCAGTGAGGAAAAACAAGAAAGCAAAGACAAGCTCCTTGGATCCTGCTTTGCTTCACCCTTTTCATGAGGAGTAAACAAATCAGGGAGCCACAGTTATCAGTTATCTTACATATGAAGCCGGAATGATTATTATTTGCTTTCCACCAAACTAGGGTAGGAAAAGTTGACTTCTGAATGCCAGTCTGTTTGGAAACCATTAACATATGTCACCACAGTCTAGGGGGAATGAAATACCACAGTTAACAGTGGATTCTTGTTCTGTCTGTCTATTTATTCACATGAGGAGAGGAGCAGAGCAGGATAAAGGGGGTCCAGGTAGATACTCAAAGTTTCTGCAGATCTTGTTCTATTAAGCCAGAATTTTACCACTCAAATGCATTCACGGTGTCCCCTGTAAGTACCTGTTGGGCATCTCCCTCTGTGAAGGGCAACATTGTAGAGACATGAAACATAATCTCCTTGCCCCTGAAGTTTGTGTAGACAGACTCGGTTCCCGTTTGACCTCTTGTAACATCCAAGCCACCTCGGAATCTGGACGGATCAGCAGAGAAAAGGGAGAAAAGGACAGAAACCAATGGAGCAAAGGAAAGAAGAAAAAGAAGCCGCAAAAGTAGAAATTTCAATAATACAGAAATATAAGCTAAGCTATGAAAGAATGTAGTAGTTTTGGTCACTTTTTCTCCAAGGGATGAATGGACCAGTAGGGACATTTTTCAAACTTTGTTCATACAGCAATTGGAATCCCCATTTATTTGGTTTCTTTTCCATTGGCTGAAATCCTCTTGCTTGGTGTAAGAAGTCACAACTAGGACAGGCCCATTTGAATCAACAGAATTTATGAAAGAGTCAATTCAACAAATCCCCAATAATTCAGTGGCCCTCCTTTAGTACAACTTACTACACTAAGCAAGAAGATTTGAGCCTCTAGTTCTAAATACTCTTGAAGATTTTCCCAAAAAGAAAAGCTTTACATTTTTTATACTCTGTGAATTAATAAATATAAAAGATTTCAATGTTTTCAACACTCAGTACAATTAGAGACCCAATTCACATTTCGTAAAAGAAGCCCTTGATGTGTATTTATTTAATTGATCTACTGATTCAGACATCACCTTTCCCACAAACTGGGGCCTAAGACCACTCACAACAAAATTAAAGCAGACACAGAGAAAAACAAGTATGTATAAAAGCATGCAAGAAACTGTCATAATATTCAATTAGATCAACAATTATATTACAGACTATTAAATTACAAAACAATTTACACCCATTCATTAAAAGGGGGGAGAGCATATATCCATTAAAAAACCTATCCAGTTAATTAGTGAGAGTGTGCTGTAATAAAAATGTATTTGTCTGCTAGTGTAACCTCCCTTGGTTAGGAGGGTCAGAATCTAATACCAACACTAAGAAGGTCCTCTATCACACACAGCCCCAAACATGCTATGAAAGAACTGGTTTAGCTCAGTAGGCAGGGAATCCTAATGAAAGGCCAATGCTTTCAGTTTGGAAACAGAATTGAAGACACACGAGTCTGCTGTTCCCTAGCAAACAGAAATGTGGGCCCTCATCATATTTATTTGAGTAACAGATTTCAGTTTCTGTGTGTTTGGAGAATGAAAGGACACACTCTTTATAGGAGAGCATTGTGTATTATTACTGTATTTCAGAGTTCTGAAGTTTTATCTCTTTCCAGTGTTGGGTTCTTTATATGCTGGACTTAAGAAGAAAGGTTTTTGGAGACAATAGCCATCTGAATTCTGGACTTTGGAAGTACAGAGATGTTATGGGAGAGAACTGCTCAGTGGTTTAGGTATCTGGCTGCAGAGCCTGCCTCTAAGTATTTGCCCAAGTTTCTGCCTCACTCAGGACCTCTTCCTTAGGCAAAACCTCAGTCAATGAAGGACTGGATGTGAAATTGTTTTATTCTCTGAGCAAACAGATACTTTGAGCCATTCCCCAAGTTCACGCATTCAAATGATATAGGACATTCTGCACCTTGAGAGCAATGTAGTACATATTACCCAGCAGGAGATGCTTTTAAAATGAAGGTACTTACCCACGGAAATCCTGCAGTTGGATCCTGTCTCCAAGAAGTTCCAAGAACTCTAAGAAGCCCAAACTCTCCTCAGTGTTACTGAAGACTTCTTCCTCTGTGGTCTAGAAAATGAGAAGCAACAGAAGGTGCTCCATTATTCACTTCCTGACCAACATGGGGTCAAGTGAAGAGTGTAAGACAAGACACAAACTCCAACCACTTTTTGCAGACAAGTGTACACTTTAATCTCCCACTGCTTTATTTTAAACCAGCACAGAAGAAAGGGTTGCCTTTCACTCCTCTATAATAGATCTCAGCTTTGCTCCCCAGAACGTAAACTGCATGAGGATATACACAACAGGTCCAGAAGAGATATTAGAAAGGGATGGCTCCAAAATTCATTCCACTATTCATGTTAGCCCTTCTCGACAATGCTTCTTGACTCATTTCGGGGGGGAGGGCTGCAAATCTTGACCACTCAGGAACAAGACTCAAGTCAAGAATGGATGGGAAAAAATGAAGTTGTCACAATGCAAAGTGCTTCCACAAAAAACTTGTTTGTTACTGGAGTACATCTTTGGTTTCCTCCCATTGCCCCACCCCCCAAGACTTAATGCCACAACATGCTGTAATGTATTGAACAGACATTAAATTACAAAACAATTTACACCCATTCATTAAAAGGGGGGAGAACTTGAACAGACAAGCCTCCAAATACACCAATTATCTCACTTTCCATGTACACATCTGCCAAACAAACAACTTAATCATTCCATTCTGTAAAGAAAACATTGCAGAACTCAACAGAATTTCTGTGCACTGGCGTTTGATGAAGACAACATTAAGTGTGCATGTGAAAATTATTTTACCTGCCCAGTTTTCTGGTAGATGACTCCAAATTTGAAGTTATTGCTGATGACATGTTCATCAAATGCAGCTATGAGTTGGGAAGCCTAAGAAGAGGTGGGTGAAACAGCCGGAATTAGAGTCAAGAGAAAGCAGCTATTGGAGCAAGGACCTGTGGTGCATACGTGGCCCCTGTGGTCAGCCTACCTTGGGATACAGCACAGGAAAGAAGCGGTCAACATTCACCTCCTCACAGAGCAGCTGCAGGGAGAAAGGATAGAAGGCAGTTACCACTTCCAGTGCAGGAAACTGCCTTTCTAACAGAAAGGAAAATGCCACTACTTCTGAGGCGAGTCATTCGACACTTGGTGAGTTCATATTACCGTCACAAATGAAGGCTGAAATAGTTCTACATGACTGTTAAAGTAACGAGATACGAAGTCACCCATTTCTGTCTGCTTACTTCTTCCCTTATTACTTTAACAGGCTGGTGGTACTCATCCATTCAAAATTTACTACGTAAGTTTAAAAATTCGGTTTTAAATCCAGGTTTACAGTTATGGATGGCCAAATTGCCACACGATGCTGGAAGTGAGTGATTTAAAATTGAACCCTACACATTTATTGTGAGCTTAAAAGGATGAATTCTAAAGTACATGCACACTAGAATTTAATGAACAAATTAGCTGATAAGAAAAAGCACCTCTACAACCAACGGCAAATGTCCTAATTATTGACTCCATCACCCATCACATCCCAAACTGATGTTCTGCTAAAACAAAACTGAGATACAAAGAGATAAGGAGCGAGAGTGAAACAATAATGCTAATGAAGCATGAACTCCAAAATAATTTATTTCAGTCCCCACATGAAACAGACAACACACACAAAGTACCAACCACATAGGCCCATCGTACCTTTCCAAAGTTCTGCTGAAGCTTCCCAACGCAATTGTCATTGCAGTGTCAAATTCGATTAATATTTTGCCCCCGTACCTTACCTTCAAACAAAACCTTGCTCCCTGGCCTCCACCATCACTACTTCACAGTCTACTTGGACAGTCTGGCAGTAATTTTGAAGAAAAACACAACTTTTTCTGTTACCACCACTAGGTGGCTAAAAACTCTCTCTCTCTCTCTCTCTCTCTCTCTCTCTCTCAACATTTTAGTGGGTTCAGTTTAGCTCTTCACCCCCTCAGGCAGAATACAGAAAGGGAAAGAAAGCAAATTGGACCATTCGTCAATGGATTACAAGCGAGGAGAGGGGAAAACAAGGGAATGAAAAAGTACTGAGTCTGGAACGTACCTTTGCCATTTGGACAGCATTTGGAAACTCATTCAGGCAGGAAATGGGGATCAAGTCATGCTTCGTACCCGTTCGAGTCCTGATAAAACCAACAAGAAAAAAGTGAACAAATGCTAAAGGGAAGCCGGGGAGGTGATGGTGTTCCTGTGGGCCACCCCACCCCGTTTTCCAAAATCAATTCTCCTGGAGGTACAGGTTTCCTGCAAGAACTAGAAAAAGTCTATGTGGTCCTTAAGATTACACCAATGTGAGAGGAGGGCGATACCCTTCCTGGACCACTGAAACATCGAACTGCAAGCTTTTGTGGTGAAAAATCCACTCCATCCGTGTAATAATATCCTGAAGTACCTCTACAACGCAGCAGTCAAATTTTTTAACAAGGATGACCAAATAAAGCCTGCAAGCCTCCTCCAATGCAGAATGCTAGGGCCTTTTTCCTGCACATTCACTGGGAAAGATTAAAAGAAAGCAGATCTAGGCAGGCATTAACTTTAGTCTCTCTCTCTCTCTCTCTCTCTCTCTCTCTCTCTCACACACACACACACACACACACACACACACACACACCATCAACGCCTTTC